GTTGTTTTATTGAAATATAGCTAATCACAAAAAGTACACATAGGCGCCTTACCTAACATGAAAACCCCCATTTCCAGGGATCTGCTGAGAGGGCTAAAAAAGACACAGCTAGGCGCAGAGCGCCTTTTCAAATTGCTCAAGGCTTCTCAGCGAATGGAGCTGCTATTCGACCCAACAACGTATAGCACCTGGAAACTGGGAACAGTGAGTAATATACTTCTTTATCTTTGTTTACTTTAGATAAAAGCTATCGCACATCATGTATTAAACTCAAAATATATTTTAGATGACGAAAGCAGACTACCACTCCCTGACAATCCTGAATCCTCTCCCTTTTACCGACGACATCTTCTTCTCTCATCCGCAACTACAAAAACTATACTATAGCCTCCGAGTTTTCACTCTTTAATTCGAAAAAATAAACTATTCTTATATCTTGTTAAAATCTTGGCAGCTTGGACTATGCAATACTTTTATCTATCAGATTCTCTTTTTATCAGTCAATGACTTTATCTATTAACTACACTGACTGAATGGTACAGTCTGACGGATGATACTTTACAATGAGCAAACAACTATGTGCTATTTTGTAGTAATGAATTCTAGCTAAAGTGGGGTCGAGTACATAAAGACACCGTAAATAAAGATGCATCTTCTCGAGTATGGCACCACATCAATGAAACTGTACAAGAACTTATCTCATTGAGCAAGATGATAGCCATGCTTTTTTTACAAGTCAAAATGGCACATCGTTGTACAACACTTTACAAAAAGGGTAATTTTTGGTCATTGAAGAATTTGGTCACTGTCATCGAACGCCCTATATGGCAGTCTACACAGCATCACCGACTAGGGTCTTTCCCTATAAAAAAAAGCAGCTTCAGTTATGATTTTTTCATTATCAAGGTCTTTTTAATCTAAAATCTCTGTATTCATTGTCATGTCCCAAGAACACGACGTTTATGGTGTATTACAGCGGGCATTGGCCATCCGTGGTAAGCTTTCGCATAGTGACAAGAAGAACAAAGACGAATGAACAATGAAGTGCAGATAAACTAATTATTATTGCAGATGACGCTGATGTTATTAGAGAAGTCGAAGAGGTTTTTGACAATATTGGATACGTGGCCACTGTCATTAAACGCAATGACCTGGTATTATAAAAGCTATTCAACAGCAGCTCTTTGAATACATTCTTACTTTGTTTTTTTCACAGCCAGCTCAAGCCAGAAGACAAGATAATGACTGGTCAACACAGCATCATATAACGGTAATATTTATCTCTCAATGTACTTTTTATTCATCTATCTCTTAGAAAAGACTAAAGAATAGAGAGCACCATTCTTGTGTATAGTCTCCTTTCGAAAGATTGCAACAGGATAGTTTTAATCACGATGCCACCTTGCTTGGGAGACAGGCAGTCAGAGACTCGGAAAAAGAACGTCGAGCAGGCAAAGCACGAGCGTCTAAATTGAAACTGACATTGAGAAAAAGAAAGCTGACAGACAATGGGACTCAGTCAATTGAAAAGAGGCCAGCTACAACGAACAACAGGCGAAGCAATGAACATGCAAGTGGTGAAGCAAGCAACAGTAAACAGGAGCAAAGCAGTACGTCTCGCACAATCAAATTATTTACATTTATTAAAACCAGTGATATCTTTGTGTCTGTTGACCTACAGTGCTAATTTGCCATCAAAGTTGACAAACGCAGTGATCCAAAGCGCCCAGAGCCTAATTTTTCGGATATCGATTTGAACAGTGACTCTGACGACAATACACAACCGGCAGCAACAAACAATAATCTCGCGAATGGTGACAGTGAGGACGACGAATGGGATGGTTCCTATGCTCCGCCTTTGGCCTCTTCTTCATCTGCCAATGATCCACCAGATAGCTTTGAAGCAATGACCAATGTCACAAGCCTGCCTGCAAGTGCCAACGATGGGGTTGAATTTCAGAGCGACAATGAAGGATCCCAGCAACCCTCACGTATACGGGATAATGGTCCTCATATGCCAAGGGCGACGGAACCAGAGCAAGGCCCCAGTGCCAATGTTGATACCCAATTAGCCTTGCCGTCAGGTGTTGCACTCCGGAATACATGGAAAAGTGGGGGAAAGTTCTTGACGGGTAATCATGCACAAAAGCCAACTTTTAGAAAGCAAAGAAAAATGTCTTTTTAACTTATCAGTGATCATATAGAGGTCAATGCTATCTGCAAGCGAGACTTTGACGGTGACACCAAGATCCTGGATGACGTGCTTAGTTTTGCAGCAGCATTGAGGAGCAACACAGGAAATGTCGAGATTGAGCCGCTTCAAAAACTGGTCAATGTCAACCGTGTTGACAAGTTGACAAGCTCAGGCAGCGTTCTCAGCAAGGCAAGGGACAGTGCATTCCGCATACGCCGGTTGAGCATTAACAACAGCATGGTCGACTTTATGCAGATGGTTGAGCGAATCAACATTGCCTACTACCGGTATGACTACTATCACAACAAAAAGGGCAAGCGCAAGGACTTTGACGAAGGCGTGTTCCGGCACCTGACAGCAACAAGCGCACAACAGCTTGTAGCAAAAATATGTCAAGGAAGTCGCCGGTATATCCGAATGGTGCGCGAGTTTGGAGTCGGTATAGTTCTGCTGCCCACTACCTTTAACCCAGCAAAGTTGGAGGCTGTAAGTACATAGTATGCTTGTATCCTCTTGTGTGTGTGTCTAAAACGCGCTTACCATTTCACGTTTTAGATGCCGGAACAGGTGTTTCAGCAAGTATTAGAGACAGTGGATAAGGAACTTTTCAAGGCACGCCTACACAAGTTTACCAAGAATATCATAGTACCAAAACAAGCAACTGACATAGTAGATTTTGCCACACGCCACTACTACGCATTCGAATCGAAGAAGGATAAGGAAGGGCAAGGAAGCAAGGAAGGACAAAGAAGGACGAGTAAAAAACCTGGAAATTGATAAATAAAAAGTGTAAGGGGGACTGTTAAAAAAAAGGGAATTTTCGATTTTGGTGCAAGACAATAAGAACACAGCGGTAATGGCGACAACAACCCATTCTTACAAACGCTTTGGCAAGTCACTTTCAGCATTTCTGTGTAAAGTTCTCAAATGTCAATTTTGGTATGCGTCAGTAGACAGTATTTGTTATTAGGGAGGGGTAATCAGTGAAAACAACTTGCGACAATTTCTTCAGAACAGTAGTCGTACGCTACTGTGCTGTATACTACGCCAGTGCAAGGAAAATACGGGAAACGGTGGTGGCAACAGTAAGCTCAAGGGAAGATCAAAAGATAATGTGAAAAGCAAGTCTTATTTTCGACCATGGTGAAAAACGAGACTTTTATATAGTAATTGGCTGATCGCTACAGGTCGTATTGAGTTTCACGAGGATATTATTGTTTGTCAGTTGCATTACTATGGGTTGAATACGAGGTTTACAAGGACAAAACGGGTTGCATGGAAAGGCAAAAATACGATTGTCAGAATTGGATCAGGACCAGCATATTTGGGAAAGGTTCAATGGAGCTATACCGTACAATCCGGCATAGAACCAGTTCAAAGATTCCAACACATGAAAAGTTGTTTATTCGCTTGACATTATAAACTCTTCAATATTCTGTGGTAGTCGTAGTGTATCCAAATCGAGCTCGTCGCCTATTTGTTGTGCAAAGCAGAATATCTCCTTGATTATGAGCGGGATGACGGGATGGAAAGGATCAAGCAAAGACTCGAGTTTGTACTTGAGCGACTTTTTGTCAATCGAGTTGATAATGTGCACGAATCTTTTTTCTGGTATCTGCATGAAACAAAAATTGAGCAAATGCGAATTAGTTTTTTAGGTGAAATGAAAAGCGTCAGAAGCTAAGAGCGTTTATATTACCTTGCTCAAGTTTTGTGGATTGAATATTGTTGGCAAGCAAACTATGGCAATACCAAACTCTCGTACAAGGTGCACATAATACCGGGTGCCTATGAGCATATAGTGCGTCTTATGCCAGGAGCGTTTCTTTGCTGGATTATTGAGCATACAAGGGTCCGTGTGATAATACGCCTTTTTTACAATGTGTCTTTGCTGGAACAGATGCCGTGTATAAACAATGTTTAATGTGCGGGTAATGCGCAAGATGCATGCCATCGTAGCCATACAATCGAATACCCAAACGCTGTTCTTTGTTGATTTACTGCTGGTTGGAAAGGATATTTTTTTGCCTTCATTCTGCATAATCGTAATGTATCCGCTACTGCTGGTCGTTGACAAAAACACCTTGTCTTGCTGTAAGACAAGCAGCACTGTTTTGATCCGAGCAGTGATCAGGTCGACCATGGGAGTACTGGCATCAACGATGGACTGAAGGTCTGCAATAGACTAGACAGTTAATAAAAGAGTACCTGTTTCTTCTATCTTGTACCAGTCTTTCCACAACAACAAATTACCAGCAAGTAGTCCTGATCCATCATATCCATAATTACTCGGGGGACTATTACAATCGACCGCCATCCATTCGTGAAAGTCTTTGGGAATGTCTTTACCATCGCGTAAAAGATCTAGAATAGATACCATATACGTGGTTGCTTCAAGTGGCTTCTTGACCTTGAGTGACTCTGGCACGGTGTCTTGTTTGCCTATACCACAATACATTGCCGTTATTGATAACGAGCAATAAACGAGGCAGCTGCGATAACAAGTTTTATCATTACAGTGAAATACCTTTATTTTGCTTCCTTTTCTTAAACACTTTTCTTTGTGGTAGCAGAGGTGGATCGTTGTTCAATGTACTTGTTGATGAGAAAGAGCTTTCCTAAAAAAAAACCTCTGTTGTTACCATCCATCTACTTTACCAAATATTTGAATAACCACATTGCCATTTACTATACCTGCGTATCGTGCGTTTTACGTGTGAACGTAGCCTCATAATCATACTCACTACATATCTTCTTTAATGTAGATGTGACTTCAAGGAATCCTGTAATAAAATGCATTATGTAATAGACCGTTTTTCTGTTAACAAACATGATAAAGCTCACTTACCGTGTGATGATAGTGCTTTTCGTAGCAGTTCTTCTAGTTCCATAGCAGACATAAATGCGACTGTAAACGAATCCTTGTAAGCGAAAATACAGAGTTGTGTGACAAGTAACTAGCTGCTGGTATCATATCTTCATTAAATAATGCCGCTGTATGTTCATGCTTGCGGTGATAGAAAGGCAGCGAACCCAGAGGAGCAAATTGGCACATCGCTCTATCACCTTTGGCCATATCTAGACCCGACCCCCACACCCCCCAGCCCCCCCAGTAAAACCTTAATTGCTGACTTTACATAATCATGAGAAACCTGATGGTATCGGCTTTGCCTATCAGTACTAGTTTTCACAATCTGCCGTGATCAAACTCTATTGTAAAACCTATGAGAGCCAATCTTCTATCTATACCACTACTCACTTTGCCAAACCTCAGACACCTCCTCGAACAAAAGCCGTGAGACTCGAGGAGAATTGCTTGCTCTACTAGCATTAGCTTTGCTAATTTAAAATTTTAAACTGACATGATAAATTTTCATTGCAAAACCTATGGGCCCCGATGCCATTAATTTTCTATCGATACAACACTCACTTTGCCAAACCTCAGACACCTCCTCAAACAAAAGCCGTGAGACTCGAGGTGAATTGCTTGCTCTACTAGCATTAGCTTGCTAATCTGGAATTTTGAGCTGCTATGATGAAATTATATTGCAAAACCCATGGGACCCGATAACAATTTTCTATCCATACCAACATTTCCTTTGCAAAGTTCAAACACCTCCTCGATGCAAAACTTGTGCACTCGAGGAATCTGCCCCTCCTAAAACACTAGCTGCATCTGACTTCTTCAAGTTCTGTCAATGCAAAATTTGTAATATGCCCCATGAAAGATAAGGCTCTTACTGGGTTTTTTTTTTACAAACACCTGCTCGATGCAAAACTTGTGGACCCGAGGGCATCTGCCCCTCCTAAAACACTAGCTGTATCTGATTTCTTCAAGTTCTGTCAATGCAAAATTTGTAATATGCCCCATGAAAGATAAGGCTCTTACTGGGTTTTTTTTTTACAAACACCTGCTCGATGCAAAACTTGTGGACCCGAGGGCATCTGCCCCTCCTAAAACACTAGCTGTATCTGATTTCTTCAAGTTCTGTCAATGCAAAATATGTAATATGCCGCATGAAAGATAATGCTCTTATTGGGGTTTTTTTTTTTTACAAACACCTCCTCGATGCAAAACTTGTGGACCCGAGGGGATCTGCCCCTCCTAAAACACTAGCTGTATCTGATTTCTTCAAGTTCTGTCAATGCAAAATTTGTAAAATGTCGCATGAAAGATAAGACTCTTATTTTTGCTTGGATTACTATACAAGCATGTCCTTCATATCACCCGCCTTTGGTGCACTCTCTGTAGCTATATCGCTCTATACCATGTACTAATCAGATATGCTTACTCTCATACAACTGTTGCATCACAATTTTAAAAATTCAGGACTATATAAAAAGTCACTGTTCAACTGTTTTCATCGTTTTCTCTTATTCCAACATTTACCTTCTTATATTTTCTTTGTCACCATGGATGAAACCCCTTATAACTTTTTTCACTATCCTATTGATCAAGATCTCAACGACTTTACCGCACTACTTAACGATGGTGACTTTGACGTTCCTGCAGCTTCCTTGGCTTCCGGACAGGTACCAACGTTTCAAGCGCAAAACACATTTGTCACCGATGGCTCTTTTATTGGGTATCCAACAGCTCCTGATATGCCTGCACTACCGTCGAATATGATCAGCGGTCCTGCTGTAACTACCACAGATTTCGGTATGGTGCTACCTGAGCAATCGCGCGCACTTTTTACCAATGGATTCGGTGCTCAGTCTGCTCAAGATGGCTTTCGTCCTGATGCGGTGTTTGTCAACAGCCCGCTGGTTCCTTTCTGCTACAGATCCTCATTCCTATCCTACTGATAATACTGGGTCCCGTGCTCGTCCTGAGTCAGTCGCGGGTTCCAATACTGTATTGCGCATGGCAGGCGGCCATCTGGTTCCTGCTGAAGCCAGCAACGTTCATCGTGCTTTCTATGATGGGTCGCATTCACCAGAAAGGAGTCTGTCTACTGGTCCTGCCGTAAATACCGGTAATTCCTCGCGTAATCCTGTCATGATTGATGAGCCTGCATCCGCTATTGCGCAGACTCCCGCAGAAAACGGGCTGGACCACAAAAATTGGATCGGAAATACTATCGCAACGTTCTTCAAGCACAGGCCGAGGTCTTTTACGCGGATAAAGGTAAGTACATTTGTTGTAAACGTGTTTCCATGTAATGGCACATGTTCTTCGTGATGATGCTTATTGATTATTTTCTCACAAAAATAGGTAAACGCGAGACTATCATCCGCAACAAGGAAACCGGCCATTTCCATTGTTTATACTGTGTATATACCACCAGAAATGGAGGATCTATAGTAAACCATGTCAATGGCGCAATTCATTGTAAGTGTTTTTTTTTCATAGTGATTATTTACCTTTGCCTTTTCCTTTGTTTTTTTTTTTTCAAATGCTTACAAACTCGAGAAAAACCTCAATTTCATGTGACCAGTACATTGACCATCTCTTTAATTTTTATAGCGGCAACCGCTCTGCAACAGCAACAGCAACAGCAACAGCAACAGCCGTTGTCACGTCCCGACACTCGTGGTATGCCGCTTATTCCCGAGGAGCCCGCTAATAGCGACGAGCCTGTCAATCCCGTTATTGAACTTGCTCTCCAATCCATCAAGAACGAGGACAAGCCATACAATGCCCGTCAACATACTAGCAATCCAGTCAGCCAACGCAGTATTAGTTGGTTTTTCTCGCATACAAAGTGGGACAGCTTTGTGGACACCTTGACGTCTCCCATGTCTTCTGAAAACAGCCAAGCCTTGCAGGATATCATGGTGGATGCCAATTGGAACGAAGATGAAGATGAGGAGGGCGAGGCCGAGCCCGATCAAGGACTGCAGGGCGACGATGCTTACGACACTGACGATGAGCAAGAGCGAACAAGGTCGCGTACAAGGAACCCAACTGGCTTGGATATAAATGCCAACCGTGCTAGCATCCTTGAAATGGTGCGTATTCGTAAGCAGAGTAACGAGGAGAACGCGGTCAATGTCATTGTTCGTGCTACGAAGCATGTTTTTGTGGAAGCCATGTACACCATTAATCGGACCGATTACACAGCTCGTCGCCTTTTGATGAATGAACAGTGAGTTCTTGTTTTTATATTTATTTCTCTTTGTGATATATACTTTATTGATTATTTACAACAATATCGCTTTTGCTGTGAAACTTTATATCTAGAGGGCTGGTGGCACCGCCGTCAATTGGCTTCAAGCAACTCACTGTAGATGAGTCTGTCAACCGATACGCCCGCGTGGGATGCAGCCTGATTGTATCGCTTTATCGCCTCAGGTCACATCCTGAAAAGTACTGCCCGGAGTTGCTCTCGTGTATTCCTGCCTCTGTCTCCGGTTCTCTTCAACGCTTGATCGACGCGGTGGACAACGCTGCCGAGCCAGAGAACAATGACATTGTTACATTGGTGCGTGACATCATGTGGGCGCTTATCACAGAGCAGAAAAATGCTGTCGACGGGCCTACTGGTTTCACGCTGTACCGACACCTTATTTTTTATACGCTCGACTACACTGGCAAGTTCAAAAACGTCCGCCTTGTGACACCAACGGTTGCTATGCTCATGTACTGGTGCCGGCTCCTTGTCCTGTACCAGATCAGGCTGGAACATAAGCAGGACCCAACTGTCCCTATTGATGTGTACGCATTTAAAAATCATATACTGTTTCTTGATGATATGCAACTGTTTGAGTAACTGAACGAAAATAATATGTTATTGTGTAGTATTACCAAGAAATACGAGATATATACGCAGGATGGAAAGCCAACGAGTTTCAATGCATTGCGCGAGGTGATGCGGGTTGCTTCAACAGCTGTTGGTGACGAGCCTCGACTTCATCGTATCCTGTGGGTCCCAGACACCAACTATCGCGAGCTCGTTGTGGCCAACACAAGCAACAAGATATCTATCAATCATTTCCGGATTTGTGTCGAGCTTTGCATGAACGAAATCGAGGCTGTCTTAAACTCGGCAGATTTCTCCTTCGGCATGCACAATGTCAAGGATCTGGTACTGGGACTTTGCCAAGGAGACACCAACAACATATGTGACAACATGGGTCTTGCAGACGTCGGCTACTCGTACATCATGGACGGTCGTAACCAATTTGGTAGTGTCCGATATGCTCTCGTCAATGCACTTTTGAGGAATGGAAATTGGAGGAGCCAATATGTAGAGGCCATCGATCGAGCTGGAACAATCTTATGGAACAAGGCAGCAATCTTTGCTTGGTTGGAAAAATGTGTCTACATTCAAAAGCTGTTGATTGTCGCAATGCATTTGAGCTATGGTCAGCCTTGTCGAGGCGAAGAGTTGGCTCAGCTATGCATAACCAACACACAATATGGCGACCGGTCCCTCTTTTGGGGTGTCGCTTATAATACCATCATGGTCATCACTCGGTACAACAAGAGCCGAGAGCTGACATGCTCTGACAAGTATATTGCCAGGTATCTACCGCACAAACTTGCAGTTTTGCTCACAGGGTATTTGGCATATTTTCGCCCACTTGAATGGTAAGTAGTATTTATTATATCTTGTATCGTGATTGGTTTGTTGTGGTCTTGATGAAGCAAAAGCTAATCCCACCTTTAAATTTTCAGTATTTTTACTGGTCATCTTTATGGTCCAGAAGCGCGTCTTACTTGCATGGAGCGGCTATTTGTCGAGAATGGTACTGCCATGACTGGAAAGAAGGTTCGTCGGATTTTCGCATGGATATATGCCAAAAAGATGGATCCACCGTTATCTTTTTCCGACCATCGCCATGTGTCAATCGCGTTCGCACGTCAGCTGATTGGCGCAAAGAAGACTCTACAGCACGTTGACGAGGAGGATCTTGAAGACTGGCCAGAGGAGCTCGATCTACAAGCCGGTCACTCAACAGCGACAGCCGGTTTGGAGTATGCTAGAAGCAACATCGACAGTCGCTTTTTGGATCCAATCACAGCGCAAAAGTACTTTGACATGAGCAGAAGATGGCACACTCTTTTGGGTAAGAATCTTTTAAAGAAAAAATGATGTGTAAAAAGTTGTGAGGACTAGACTGATAAACTATAACTTTTTTTGGCTATATAACAACATAGGGATCGAGAAAAAACAAATTAGCAATACATCTGGCGACCCGTTGTTGGAGCGTCGCAAAAGAGAAATCAAAAACGTCAACAAGCTTATCGAGGAAAATGCAGCATATATCGAAGCACGGAATCATGCTTTGATGAGGAATATGATTTTAGAGGACATGCACCGTCGAGGTAAATGTTGTTGTTTTTTGCGATGCGTCACTTTTGGCGATAGAGTCAGACTTTAACCAGTTGTAACATTTAGCACGGAATGCAATGGTGAACGGAGGACCAGCAATTCCAATCATCAAAGAAGGAGCGAATCGCTCACTTGCCGCTTGTCAAGGCAGTGCTCCTGATGTGACCAATATGTCAAGTGAAGCAAAGGCTCTACGAGGATTACGGCTACTGCTGCAGGAACCCTCTGCGACTTTCCAGTCCAAGATTCAGCAAGAAGCAACAATCGCAGCAATCGAACGAAAGAAAAATATACTTGTAGTGCTGCCAACCGGCGGTGGCAAATCCGCAGTATTTATGGCGCCTAGTTTGATCGAGAAGGATAAAACAACAATCGTGGTGGTCCCACTCGTAACGCTACTGGGAGACATGGCGCGCCGTTTGGTGGATTCAGGGATCGATTACTGTACGTATGATGGCACTCTCGACCATGGCATGATGCTTTCGGTGAAAATCATCCTCGTTACACCAGAAAAGGCAAAGGAGCAAAAATTCGTCAGCATGCTACACACAATGAGTGCACAAGGCCGTATCAGCAGAATTGTAATCGATGAGGCCCATTTGGTGATTACGTGGAGCTCGTTTCGGCCTACCATGGGTGAACTAGCACAGCTTCGAACGGTACCGGTGCCTATGGTGTTTTTGTCTGCTACACTGCCTCCGCCATGGGAAAGCGATCTGTCTGTCCTCTTTAAAACAGAATTTCAAGTGTTCCGCTCCTTGACTGTACGACCAAACCTGCGCTATGTGGTTCACACTATCAAGAACAAGGGCAGCAACTTTAAGGATGTCAAGGCTTACATTGTCAGCCGGTTAAAGCAAGCTATAACAGACGAACTCACAGGGGGCGGTCGTGCCATTGTATACTCTGCTGAAGTGAACAACGTCAAAGAGCTGGCGCAAGATTTAAATCAAGCACTGAACGAGGAGCTACTACAGGAGGGATGTGGTGATGCAAGCTCCACGATATATACGACCTACAAGCATCAGAACAAGAGGGCAAGGCTTGCTTGGAACTCCAATCTGGTGCTCCCTCTCTATGGCACTTTGGATAGCGCGACAAAGCACGAGGCTTTGGAAAATTGGCGTAGTGGTACTTGCCGGGTGCTCTGTGGTACAAGTGCGTGTGGCCTGGGCGTCGATTATGGTGAAGTTCGTCTGGTGATCCATGCCCAATTCTCTCAAAGCCCACTCGACTACATTCAGGAAACAGGACGAGCTGGCAGGGACGGCAAGCCAGCAGAGTGTCTACTGGTCAACACGTTTGGCGATCGAGGACAAGTCCTTGGAAAGATAAAGAAGCTCATAGAATCCACGGACGATAAGAATCATCGGGACTATCTTACCAAGCGCATGTACTTTTGTGACCTGGTCACTCGTCCTGGCTGCATACGGAAACAGATACACACTTTGGTCGACATTGAGGCGAAAACGTGTACCGAATACGGTGGCCATGTGAAGCTCTGCTACTACTGTGAAAAAGGAATGCCACAAGCGCAAGTATGTATTTATCATCATTGCAATATCCATTTATTGTCACTTTTGCATAGTAATAGTTTATCCTAATGTTATATATTTATTGTTAGAGCCGAGAGTTTCAGCTACGCAGACAAAGTACGGACTATAGCATCAATAGGCAAATGTCAAGTTTGCTACCTCCAAGCTATGGCATGGCTTCAAGCGCACAACCAAAAACTCCATCGGTAATTTCAATGGATGCAAGCACCAACTCTCTAGCACATGGCACGTAAGGAGCCTTTATGGCGTCGATCCCAAACCTCACACAGATAATGGCACAAGAAAACACGTTGCAATCTCTACACCTGAGGGCCAACAACAGCTTGGGCGCAACAAAAGCAATGGTAATAATCCTACACGTCAACACCGATCAATACTATGCATACGAATCATTAACCATTAAAACATGCGTTCACAGTTTTCCCCTGTTCCTAGCATGAGTCCTTCAGTCCATCCAAGTCCAAGCTCCATAGTATCCGCCCGACACAACATCGAACAATCCCTTGGCCAGTCGGCTTCTCGTCAGCAGATGGAGATCGACTCGCTGGTGGCAACCGCTGAGGTGCGAGCAGCTAAAGACGACAAGGCGCATTTCAAGGACTTGTTAGAAACGTTCAAACATTGCTGCATGAATGAATTGGTCAAGGACCATGTGGCAATCGACAAAAATAGCAAGGATCACTGTTCTACACCGGACAAGAAAGGGCTGTGCCACAAGTGCCTCAGCACCACACATTACACGACCAACTGTCCTGCAAAAAAGTTGAGAAACCTGCCGAAAGAAACTTGCTTTTTTTGCTGGCTTCCACAAGGCGATCCGTTACTGCATCCAGACCGTGGAACAATGTGCCCTGAGGGAATGAGGGATCAAATACAGCCTTTCTGTTGGGCGATGTACAGGTATAGGGGCAGAGACCTTCACGCTGAATATGGAACCTTGTTCAAAGACGACGTAGATTTTGCAACGTGGCTACAGGCGGCCCCGAGCAGCAGTCGAAAATCATTTAAAGTGCGGAACAACGGAACGGATGTCTATTTGACGTTCCTTGGAGAATATAGAAAGTATGTGCAAAGTTGAAGGAGCAATAAATATATTCTTGGCCCATCTACTTGAAAAACAGCTATAGAATATGTTGCTGGATAAAGTCACAAACGCGACAGCCAATGTTCATGCACAGTGCTCTAATCGCTTTTATTTGAACAACAAAATGAACGGAATTATTACTTGCCAATGTCGGTAAACATGCTAAAGCCTGTACAGAAATAGTTTTGTGTAGTGGGGAAAGAGCTTATTTTGCACGCAATTTTAAACACAGTAAAGTCACTCGTAATACCTTTTTTTCCCAGCCCTCTTCTTTTACCAACAGTGACCACGTTGCTCAGCATTGGAAACATCATTGCTCAGATGCAGTTGCGCATATTGTAGGAAGCGACCGATAATCTCATATTTAAGATCATCTTTTCTCCACAAAGGATGCAGCAACCTGATGCAGGCCTTTTACAACACTCATTGTGTAGTACACAGATGCGCCCTTATTCCAACAGCTTTTTTTATAGGGAAGGAAATTATTGCTGGGATAATATAGCCAATGCCATACAGATAGGCGATACAGAAGAAACAATGTGTCACATCTTTTATATTGCGGTAAACACATTAGTATGCCAACCCCCCACAGTACAGCTGTGCAAAGATAGCTTAACAAATCTTTGTGCTTTTTTTCCAAATTGTATTAAAAAAACAAGAGGACAAGAATTGGAGGGCATGCAATACAGCTTTCTGTCAGTGTGGATGTGAATAGAGTTCATATGATTTACAATGAAGGTTTGCGTCATATTGTTTGCTACTTGAAATAAGCCTTTAACTTCTGCCAGTTACTACACTTTAGAAGCTTGGTGCCTGAACGCAGTTAACCAACAGCATTGTCTATGTGAGCAATGATCTTCGAAGTACACTATACTGCTGCAAAAAGGATCTTGTAACCGTTGGTGCTTCACCAGTAACGGATTCAGTATATCTATAATGGATGTTTTATAATGATATTATCAGCTTATATTTAGTCAGATTCATTTCTAGATATTAC